GCTTAGAAAGTCCGAAAAACTAGAAGGATGTGAAGTCTTTATGTGGTTTGGGGCCTGAAATAAAATTGCCATCCGTTTCTGCTAGAGAGCTGCTCACACTACCAACTTATTTATTCTTGTGAAGGTCCTGAGGTTTGTACTCGGGGCCTGGGCACTGTCTCTAAGCATTTATATTCAAAGGTGACAATCTGCTACTTGAGCCGCAGCTCCACTTCTTTTTTTTTTCTGGTAGTTAATTGGAGATAAGGATTGTACAGGCTTTTCTTCCTAGGCTGGCTTTGAACCTGACCATCAGATCTCAGCCTCCTGGGTCTCTAGGATTATAGGCGTGAGCCACGGGCACCTGGATTCTCCCTTAGCTTTTTGGTTGTTGTTGTTCAAGGCTGATGCTCTATCACTCTATCACAGCTCTACTTCTGGCTAATTGGTGATGGTGATTTGTCTGCTTTGAACTGTGATCCTCAGATTGCAGCCTTCTGGTCGCTTAAGATTACAGGTGTGAGCCATCAGCACCCGCACAACTGAACTCTAAACTCGGGTGATCATGATGGTCACATTGTGCCCATTGCAAAGTTTTGTTTTTTAGTTATTTTACTTTTTGGTCAGTCATGGGGCTTGAACTCAGGGCCTGGGCGCTGTCCCTCAGCTCTTCAGCTCAAAGCCAGTGTTTACCACATTGAGCCACAGCGCCACTTCTGGTCTTTTTTTTTTTTTTTTTGAGTGGTTCATTGGAGATAAAAGTCTCACAGGGACTCTTCTGCTCAGGCTGGCTTCGAACTGTGATCCTTCGATCTCAGCCTCCTGAGTAGCCAGGATTATAGGCGTGAGCCACCAGCGCCCGGCTCAGGCCAGAAATTTCTATGAAATGGTCAGTTCCGGTTTCTGGCTTTCTATAGCAGACATCTGCTCACCCAGCCTTGGCTGGGGCAGTCTGGAATGCAGCCCATTGAAGGTGAGGGCGGCGCTGTCGGGGTGGAGGAGGGGAGGAGGGGCATTTATTACATATATCCTCTGGGCAGAACTCTCCCTGCTCACTAAGCTGTTGAAATAGTTATACCCATATCTCATGCAGACCTCTTAATACCATTATTGGCACATAATAGATGCTCAGTAAGTAGAAGTTCTTATGCCTAGCCCTTGTGAAAGTTGGACTGGGCGGGAGATACCTTACATCCAAGTTGTGTGCGCGTGAACACGCACGGGCGGACTTTCCCAGTAAAACACAGGACGTGGAGTTCAACGTGAATTTTAGATCGTTTTTTGTGAGCACGAGTATTTTCCACACCATTTCAAATTGCTCCCAGCCACGCCTGTCTGGGCCACGAGTGCCTTTGGCTCTTCACGGAAGAGCTGTTAAGCATGGGAGAAACATCCACCATCCATTCGGGTGTGAGTGGCTGGGTTAGAGGAGAGTCAGTCAGTGGAAGCTGGCGACCCGAGCTTGAAAGATGAGCCGGAGCCCGACAGGTGGTGGAAAGCTGACCATCCTGCCTCTCCCCTGACTTTGTCCCCCAGAAACGCTTTATGGCTGCTGTGTGGCCTGTTAGAGGCGTGGGTTGGTAACTGATAGCTCTGCTGGCTTCCTGGCACAGAACAGGACGGACTGACGGTGTGTGTGTGTGTGTGTGTGTGTGTGTGTGGCCTGCACCTCCAGTTTACTCCACCCTCACTTCCTTATTTCCCTTATAGCCCAGGAGCTCTTGGGATTTTGTAGGGAGTTGTTAAAGACTGGGCGTTTCCAGGGACAAGGTTTAGGAGGTGGGGGGTCATATCGCTTTGGGGTGTGTGTGTGTGTGTTCACGCCCAGTAGTGGGGCTCCAACTCCTCCTCAAACTCTCACTTCTGGCCTTTTGCTCTTACCTGGAGATAAGAATCTGATCTGGGGCTGGGAAGGTGGCTCAGTGGTAGAGCGCTTGCCTTGCATGCATGAAGCCCTGAGTTCGATTCCTCAGTACCCCACAAGCAGAAAAAGATGAAGTGGTGCTGTGGCTCAAGTGGTAGAGCGCT